GTTCAATGTTATTAAATACATTGAGAGTGCTATGCAGCCATCACTACTATCTGTCTTGAGACCTCATCACCTTGTAAAACAGAAACTCTGTACCCACTAAACGATAATTCCCCATTCTCTCTTCCCTTTGCCCCTGACGACCACCCTTCTACTTTTTGTCTCTATGAATTCGACTACTTTAGTACCTCCTAGAATTGGAACCACGCAGTATTTGTGGTTTTGTGGCTGGTTTCATTTAGCATAGTATTCTTAAGGTTCACTCATGAGGTATCGTGTTGCAGAATTCCCTTTCTTTTAAAGGCTGAATAATATGCCATTTCATGAATATACTACATTTTGTTTATCTATTCATCTATCAATGGACAAGTGAGCTGCTTTCATATTTTAGCTATCAAGAATAATGTTGTTATGAGGAAGTCTTCCTTCTCTTTTGGTGAATGATGTTAGCTGTCAGCTGGGGCCTTGACTGGATTTTGGGTCAGATACCTCTGTTGGTCTCTCCATGTGAACTCTCTGTACAAGCTAGTTGGGCTTCCTCACACCATGGCAGCTGGATTCTAGGAACCAGCATTGCTGGAGAGCCACTAGAAGCTGCATGGGTCTCTATGACAGTCTTGGAAATCACTTAGTGTCACTTATGCCACATTTTATCGGTGGAAGCAGTCCCAAGTGGGCTCAGATGGAACAGGATCGGAATTAGCCTCCTTCTCTTCATGGTAAGAGGCAAGGTTATATTGTAAGAAGAGCATGTGGAATGAGAAATATTGCTGCAGCCATTTTTGGAAACACAACCAACCACATCTTTGGAAAATCCATCTACCACATCCATAAAGTTAGAAAGATGAGAGGGATTGCCTCACATCCACTTCACAGAGTGAGATACTGAGGCTGCCAAAGTAATTGAACTGAAAAAGGGCCCTCAAAGCCCAATATCCATTCAATTTAGAGATTTCTTCTATAGTACTTCTGGGAGCTAATCATCCAGGCTCTGCTTGAATATCTATAGTGATGGGGAGATCATTACCTTACAAAGGGATCATTCCAATTGTTGCATGGTTGAGATTGTCAAAAAGTTCTTAGAGTGTGATAAAAACTGCTCCTCTGTAAGGCCCTTTCATTGGCTCTGATTTTGCCTCTGATGAATGAGGACCGGATAAGCTAGAAGGAAATGTTCACTCTTTAGTGCTAACCATGTGCCAGCCTGTGAGTGGGGGTTTCATGGCCATTTCATGGAGAACAAGCATGTTTCAGGCCCTCAGTGTTGATGGAGATGTCACTTTATCAACCTGAAGTCTTTCTCCTGTTCCTCAAAGACTGAATTTCCTGACTGCTCATCACCTTTGCCTGTGTTACAGTTTCTGAGAATCCCTAAAACATCATTTGGACATGATGCTCTAGTTTAACCTAGCTCATCTTTTAAATTTTATTTTTTAAAGAAGCCACATCAGGGTGTGGTGTGATAGCTCAAGCCTGTAATTCTAGCAGTTTGGGAGGCTGAAGCAGGAGCATCTCTTGAGGCCAGAGGTTTGAGCCCAGTCTGGCCAACATGGTGAAACCCCTGTCTCTACTAAAAATAGAAAAATTAGTTGGGCATGGTGATTCATGCCTGTAGTCCCAGCTACTTGGGGGGCTGAGAGGGAGGATTGCTTGAGTACAGGGGTTCGAGGCTGCAGTGAGCTGTGATTGCACTACCACACTCCAGCCTGGGCAACAGAGTGAGACACTGTCTCAAAAAAATCCCAAAAAAACTTATCACACAGGCTGGCTCATCTTAAACTCAAAGTCAGCTGAAACCCTCCCATCATTTTTTACTGTAATTGCTTCAGCCCTGGTCTCTCCCATTGGTCCAGGAATCTTGTCATCACAGCAGGACTAGGATGAGGATGAACATCCAGAGGTAAATTTTTGGCCCTGGAGGACTTCTGAGATTAAACGTATCTGAAGATTGGGACCTGTGGTCATGTCCAAGAAAAGGAAGGGGTCAGCTGCAGCTCTGGCTCTGCTGGATGGCAGTGGAGGCAGGACAAACAGCTTCATTCAGAGGCTGTGAGGATCACCAGCCACTCGCAGTACTTGGTACCTGTTCCCGTTTTGCTTGGGGAGGGGGACAAACCACACAGACAGGGAAGTACCATCATTGACAGGCTCAGCAGCTCAAGTGATTTGGCTGTGGCCTGGGAACAGCTAGATCCATGCAGACTATTCAGACTGACTCCCTGGCATGAGGGGTGAGGTCAGAGAGGGGACCATGGGGGAGGAAAGGATCAGAAAAGGCCACCACAGCCCTCTTTGTTCTGTGTCTCAGTGGGTTCTTGTTCATGTACATATACATAAAAAGAGGGTAGAATAATGTATTGATTTTAGGTAAATCCTCCTAAGTTGACATGTTCCCTGAACACAAGTCTGAAGGCTTTCTTTCGTTGTAAGAGACCAAAAACAAACTAAACTTAGAGTAAGCAAGAAAGAGAATGCATTGACTCACATTGCTGGGAAGGCCAAGCATGGAGTGAGCTTCAGGCTTGACTCTAAAAAGGCATTGGGATTTGTTGTCATTTGCACCTGTGATACCTTGGTTTCCTTCAGACAGCAGCAGCCATGCTGCTAGAAGCTCTGGGGTCCTAGCCTTACTATACACGATCCAAAAGGAGTGAAGAGCATATCTTTTTTGGACTCAATATACAAAATCCCAGAGAAGGACTCTGATTGGTCTGACATGGGTCACATGCCTATTCCTGGGCCAATTATTATTAGCAGGAAGGTGGGATAGAATGATTGGTCAGGCCTGGGTCATACGTCTTTCCCCATGTCCAGTGATTCCACAGGCACCTAAGGGCAAGAAACAGGACACCCAGACCTCAGGGGACAGGCAAGTCAGAAACGAAAGCTAAGCTGTCTTCTTGTGGTCTACCAGGGATCTCGTGTCAGCTTCTTTTTGCTTGCCTCCTCATTCTTCTGCTTTCCTGTGAACATAGCTTTGGCATTTTTTTCTTCCTCAGCATGTATGTACGTGGCTCAAAATGGCTACCCCAGCCCCAAACCCTATGTGACTTTCGACAACTCCACACCAACTGTGGCTGAGTTCAGATTTTCAAGGAAGACAGAATCCGATGAGTTCAGGGATAGGTGTTAAATACTGGACCCATCAGTTGTGGCAAGGGTTAGGGATTTGTAGTACAAACATGGCTTCGGAAGTCTTCCCCTTCAGCTGGCCTGTAGGGGCAGTTCGGTTGGAGAAGGGGCTGCGGGTGGGGCAGGAATTTTAGAACAAGATATCTTGCTGGTCCCAGGTGACCCAGAGAACGGCAAAGCATGGCACTATCCTGCCCTCAAGTTGCTTCAAGTCTAGCTGAGGAGGTGAGAGGCTCATCTGGGCCAGGGGTCATAGGACATCAGAGGAGGGCAAGGTCATTGTGGGCCAGGCCACGTGGAACAAGTTGCCTGGAGGCAGTGGGAGTGCAGCTGGCCTTTCCAGGTGGGCAGGAAGAAAGGGACATGACCCTGTGCCATGTGGAGGAGACGTGGCCTCAGCAGATGCTCTTTTCTTCACACCTGAGCTGGCCCTGCTGAAGAAATATGCAAATGCATTTGAAGTGCCCTGTCCATTAGGGAGCTTTTTCTCAGTGTATAAACACTGGTCTCCCTGTCTCACCCTGAGGCTTCTGTCTGACTTCTCAGAACACCCTCTGTCCCTGAATGACCACAGAGTGCCCCCCCAACCCCGCCGCTGCCGTCCACTCGCCGTCTGTGTGTGTGTGTGCGTGTGTTAGGTTATGGGAGTTTTTCATGGTGTTTTGGAAAGTCAAGGAGTTTCTTCTCTCCTCAAAAGCCAAGAATGGGAAAAAAAATCTCCAAGAAGAAAAGGAGGGAAAAATAACCCTTTGCATTTGGAGAATGTAAGGAGATGTGTAAGCACCCCAACGTGGAAACTTCTGTTCTCATGTTGCGGTCCAGGAAAGTTCTGGACTTGCCCAAATTCTCATGGCTGGGACTAGAACCCTGGCTTTGACCGCCAGCCCAGGGCTCTTCCCTGAGTCCTCAGGGGCACTGGGGACTGGGCCTGGCAGGGGCGGTGTGTGTGTGACAGGGGTGGGGGAAGGCGCCACCTTCACAAGGACGCAGTAGAGGCTCAGTCCTGCAAAGCGCAGCCCAGACCCAGTCCGGAGAGGATTTGAGGCTCCGGAGAGGAGCTAAGAGGTCACCAGCGTCTCCTTTGGGAAGCGGGGGAAAGTCCGTCCCACACGCCTTATCTGGGCAGATCTCATTTCCTGGTGGAGGAAAAGGAAGAGATCTTTGTGTTTCTCCGCTGTTTTTTCCCTTTCAGACAGACCAGGCATCAGATCTCGGTCATGTAAATCCGGCTGAAACGAAAGACGCCGAGGCGGAGGCTGGCACAAAGAAAAGGGTCCCTTGCCAAAGTCACACAGGAAGACACCCTAAAGACCTTCCCCTAAAGCGGAGGGCGGTCGGGGCTTTCCTGGAGCTCCCTTTCCCCAAGGGCCTGGCTTTCGACTTGTGATCCTAGTTCCACATGAGGTTTCATCTAAGTGATTGTATTATTATTATTTTTGCATGGGTGAAAAGCCACAGACTGTTAAGGCTGAACTGAACAGCCTGCACTGTTCCCACTCCGGTGTGGCCTCTCTTCACTGTTCAGGCACCGGCAGCCTCAGAACGGACGTGGCCCAGACCTCACTTGACCTCTGAGAGGCCCCGAAGGCAGTCGCCCGAGGGCAGGGGCAGGGGACAGGGCGGAGGGGGAGGACACGGAGCCGGGCAGGGAAGGGAGGGGAGGAGCAGGGAACGAGAGGAGGGGCGGCGGGGAGCCCGGAGAGAAAGAAAGAGGGGAGACCCGGGAGAGGAAGAGGGGGAGGCCCGGGAGGGCGCGCGGAGGGGGTGTCAGCGAGGGGCCGCCTGTCAGGGTTCTATCTGCGCGATGATTGATGCGGGCCCGGGTTTTTCTGTCAGCCTGTCACGGCGCAGGAATGTTTAATGTTCTCATTATTGGTTACGCTGTTGTGTATATTTCTCTGTCAGCACCGCGGACCCAGCTGAACTGGCAGAGCACTTCAAAGGCCTGCGGGTCATTCATCATCCCCATGACGCTCCGGCAAATGCTCAGCTTCAGCCCCGCGCCAGGGATTTGTTATGACTTGCGAGCCGCCTGACAGACAGGGCCGTGGCGGCCGGGAGGGGACGCGCGGGAGGCGGGCTCCGGGCCCTTCCTGTCACGCCGGGCCCACGACTCCGACTCGGACGGCAGGCGGCGGCGCGGGGTGGGCCCGCAGGGGCGACCCCCGGAGGGGTGGTGGGAGGAGGCAGGAGCGCGCCCCCTCGTGGGCCCGGGGCGCCCCACGCCTTTCCCTGCAGTCCCGCCTTCCTCCTCCCGGCGGGCGGCGGCCTCTCCCAAAGTTGTGCTGGAGACCCAGAGGTTTTGGGGGGGAAAAGCGAAACTTGCAACCGTCCAGGGCCAGGGAGGGGCGGGAGCGGGGAGCGGGGAGCGGGAGCAGGCGAGTATCGGAGCTTTGTTTCCTTTCCCAGGCCGTGACATGATTAATCGTTTTCTTCTGATCTAATTTTGGAACATGAAAAACAGCACATTTGTCTTGAAGAAAAATGATGTGCCGAACTGCGCAGATGGAAATTTCGAGCAATGAGAAAGATTAAAGTGAAACCCCACTCCTTAGACCTAATCATGAGTTGTAGATTATTCTGTCGGCCCAGCCAGATGGTAGCTCTGATTCCACAGCCCCTTCTTATATTAATGAATACTCGACTGTTATATTTGACTTAGGTAAGTGAAATGTCTATCAGAGCTAATGGACTGCCAGCCAGCATAACACATGTTGTACCGCTAAGGGTCCTTCTACATTTTTCATGTTTTATACTAATGTAGAACATTTTGTTTCCTACTGTTTTTCATCATTGTCACTGTTTGCTAAATATTTTCACATGGAAGGGGGGAGAGAGAGAGACAAAGTCAGGAGGAAAAAGAACCCCCCTCCAAACTTGTGTCCAAAGCTAATTTCCTCCCGTTGGGCTTGGCTATAACTCTACAAGTAAAACAGTCACCCCGAGCAATGCATACAGGAACTCAATAGTAACGTGATTAAGTTCCTAGTCAACAAGACTACACTCGACTGTATGTTAACAAACCTAATTATAGCTCCGGTCGTGATAAATTGGGCCAGGTCCCTGGCTGCACATCTCTGAGGTCATGTCTAGAAGAGCTGTTTGACCCTCTTGTCTCAGGAGAGAGAATTGTCCTGGAGAGGGGTCCCTGGCTCAGCGTGGTGGAGGGGCTGTTTTCTTCTTGACCTGGTTGTCCAGCGCCTGGGAGGGTGGGTGGATACCAGGAAGCATTTCAGAGCAGAAGGTCAGAGACGTGAGCAACTGGGCATTAGGCTTTGCTAGATGAGGATGGAAGGGCAGTAGCTTCTGAGCCATTGGCCCCTTTCATGTTGTGAGAGGCATCAGGATGCCTGAGGGAGAGCATGGTGTTTCTGCTTCACTGGTTCCATGAAGACCTTGGAGGGTGGTAGCTCACTCTCTCTGGGTCAAGTTGAGGGTGGCACAGACACTCCCCTTCCTCCAGCCTTCTCATCTGTAACTGGTGAATCCGGAAGAGATTGTTGTTCAAGAGGAAATCTTGTGTTACTCTTTATGAAGGACTCCAGCCTGGTGGGGATGAATGAGTCCTGAAGATGGAATCTGAAAGCTGTTTGGGCACAAGTAAGATGGAAGGGGTTGAGGAACATTTTCAAGGAATGATGTCTTGAGAGAAAAATAATAAGAAATCCACAGGTGGAGAAAAGATATCTAGATATGAAAACATGGGGCAGGGGAAGGGAGAGAGAAGAGAATGCAGAGAAAGAAATAGACATAGTGGAGAGGATGCGTAGGTACCAACAGAGGAGATGGTTCATGAACTCAGAGGAGAAACTCTCTTTGCCCCAGACAAAGTGCATTGCCTAAAAAGCCAGTTCGACCCCTGCTGAAAATTCTCTCCTGGCTGTGATTCTTGCAGGGGTCAGTTGAAATGTCTTGGCTGGGAATAGGTGACCCTCTCTCTGTCCCCAGCTTCTCTATCCAGCTTTATGTCTCACCTGTCCTCAACTGTGACTCTGCCCTTCTGCCACATGAACCTTCTTAGGGTCCCCAAGAATGCCAGCCTCTTTCAGAACAATGTAATTTTATCTGTGTTTATTTCTGTCTATCCTACTCTCTTATATTCTTTCTCTGGCAAACTCCTACTCATCCTTCAAGACCCAGCTCTCATGTCTCCTCCTCTGGGATATTTTCCTGACATTCCCAGGAGGCATTATTTATCCTCTGACTCCCATCCCTGACGCTGGCCAGGCTACATTGAAAAATGTCTGTGTTTGCAAGTCTCTTGCTCTACACCTTCCTGCCTCTACAGCTATTCCCCTACTCATTAGTTTACTAATTCAAGAAATGTACATTAAGAATCTACTATGTGACAGATACTGTTCAAGACACTGGGGATTTAGCAATGTACAAAATCCCCTGCCCTCCTGGAGGTGACATTTCAGTAGTTGTATTTGTGGATGTATTAATGACGCTCTTTTATAGTAAGAAACAGAAACTCGCTCAGGCTAGCTCTAGAAATGGGGATTACTGTAAAATGGTGGCAATAAGGAAGGCAGAAAATCTCATAGAGACCCAAGGGCAGCTGTACAGGTGAGCCTCTCAGCTTCTATAACTCGTTAACTGGCTCATTCATGGCCCCTCCCAGGCCCCATGTCATTTAAGAAACTTTTTATTGTGATATGAGATACATACACAAAAGTACATATATCGCAAAAGTACAGCCCAATGAATGTTCACAAACTATAGCCTATAAAGAGGTTAAGAAATATAACATTCATTACCCCAGTACCTCCTGTCCACCTTTATTTCTCTCTTTTTTTTTTTTTTTGAGACGGAGTTTCGCTCTTGTTACCCAGGCTGGAGTGCAATGGCGTGATCTCGGCTCACTGCAACCTCCACCTCCTGGGTTCAGGCAATTCTCTTGCCCCAGCCTCCTGAGTAGCTGGGATTACAGGCACGCACCACCATGCCCATCTAATGTTTTGTATTTTTAGTAGAGACGGGCTTTCACCATGTTGACCAGGATGGCCTCGATCTCTTGACCTTGTGATCCACCCACCTCGGCCTCCCAAAGTGCTGGGATTACAGGTGTGAGCCACCGCGCCCGGCCCTCTTTATTTCATTTTTAAGATAAATTCTCATCCCAGCGTCTCCCCAACTATTTACTATGATGTTTTGATTTCTGTTTTCACTGGATTCATTTTTTAAACAGCTTTATTTAGGTGAAACTTACATACCATAAAATCATCCATGGTAAATTAACAATCCAGTGGTTTTTAGTAAGTTTATAAAGAGCAACCATGATCGCCATCTAGTTTTAGAACATTTCCATCATCCCAAAGAATCCTCTTGAGTCTGTTTTCAGTCAGTACTCAGTTCTAGCCCCAACCCCAGTCCCAGATAACCAGTTTTTACATTTAGGTTTGTGTTCCATTAAAAAAAAATAATTTTAATGAGATATAATTCACATGTCATTAAGTCTACACTTTAGAAAGGTAAAATTATGTGTATTTAGTATATTTACAAAGTTGTACAAATATTACCCCTATCTAATTCCAGAACATTTTAATCACCAAAAAGAAAGCCCATACCTATTCATAGTGACTCCCTGTTTTTCTCTCCCTTCAGTCCCTGGAAATCACTAATCTCCTTTCTGTCTCTATGGATTCTGTCTCTATGGATTAGCTTATTCTAGACATTCTACATGAGTAGAATCATACAATATGTGGCCTTCAATGCCCAGGTTCTTTCACTCAGTATAATGTTTTCAAGATTCAACCATGTTGTAGTATGTATGAGAACTTCATTTTTTATGGCCAAATAATATTCCATGTATGGATTTACAATATTTTGTCAATATGGAAGACATTCCTGTATCGATAGACATTTGGATTGTTTCTACTTTTTGGCTCTTATGAATAATGCTGTTATGAACATTTATGTTCAAGTTTTTGTGTGACCATGTTTTCAGTTCTCTTGGGTATATATCTAGGAGTGGAATTGCTGGGTCATGTGCTAACTCTATGTTTAACTTAAATTTTTAAAAATAAATTTAAAAAAATATTTATTTTTTATTAGAGATAGGAGTTCATCTTGTTGCCCAATCTGGTCTTGAACTCCTGGACTCAAGCAATCCACCTGCTTTGGCTTCCCAGAGTGCTGGGATTACAGGCATAAGCTACCATGCTTGGTGTGTGTTTAACTTTTTTTTTTCTCTTCAGACATGGTTTCACTCTTGTTTCCCAGACTGGAGTGCAAGGTGCGATCTTGGCTCACTGCAACCTCTGCCTTCCAGCTTTAAGTGATTCTCCTGTCTCAGGCTCCCAAGTAGCTAGGATTGCAGGCATGCACCACCATGACCAGCTAATTTTGTGTTTTTAGTAGATATGAGGTTTCACCATGTTGGTCAGGCTCGTCTCGAACTCCTGACCTCAGTTAACCCACCCGCCTTAGCCTCCCAAAGTGCTGGGATTACAGTGTGAGTCACCATGCTCAGCCTTGTTTAACTTGTTGAATGTGATCTGTTTGAAGTTAATTTCTGTATATGGTATGAGGTAAGAGTCTAAGTTTATTTTCTTTCATATGGATATCCAGTTGTCTCCCATAACTTTTTTTAAAGCATAAATTTGCACTGAATTTTGTCAGGTGTTTTTCCTGCATTTATAGAGTGAGCTATTGAAATCTCCAGGTATTACTGTAGAATTATCTATTTTTCCTTTCAAGTTCATCAGTTTTTGCTTTATGTAATTAGGGGTTCTGTTGTTAGGTGCATATATATGTAATTGGTAATTCCTAATGTATTCACAATTTTATCATTATAAAACTTCTTTTGTCTCTAATAACATTTCTTATGTTAAAATCTATTTTTTCCTGATAGTAATATGGCCTCTCCAACTCTCTTATGGTTACTGTTTGCTTGGGATATCTCTTCTTATCTTTGTGTCTCTTGTTGACAGCATTTGGTTGGATCTTACTTTTTTATCCAGTCTGACAATCTCTGTCTTTTGAATGGAGATTTTAGTCCATTCCCTTTTAATGTGATTATTAATATGGCTGGATTAACACCTGCCATTTTTCTTTTCTGTTCTCTTCTTTTCTTTTTTTTTTTTGAGACAAGAGTCTTGCTCTGTTGCCCAGGCTGGAGTACAGTAGTGCAATCTTAGCTCATTGCAACCTCTGCCTCCTGGGTTCAAGCAATTCTCATGCCTCAGCCTCCCAAGTAGCTTGGACTACAGGTATGCACCACCATGCCTGTCTAATTTTTTTGTATTTTAGTAGTGACGGGGTTTCACCATGTTACCTAGGCTGTTCTCAAACTCCTGAGCTCAGGCAGTGCACCCACCTTGGCCTCCCAAAATGCTGGAATTACAGGCGTGAGCCACCAGGCCCTGCCTTTTCTATTTGTTTGTATTTGCCTAATGTCTTTTTTGTTTCTCTTTTACTGCCTTATTTTGTGTTAAATAATTATATTTTCAGTTAAAACATAACAATTTCAATTATCTTCATTTTATTTTCTCAGTGGTTGCTCCAAGGATTACAATTGCATTTAATTTATCATAATCTATTTCAGAAAAATGCTACTTTAATTCTGGTGAAATATAGAAACTTTACTTCAATACATCTCCTGTTCTTCCCTTCTCCTCTGTACTATTGTTATTTATATTGCATCTAAACATGTTATAAAGCCAACAATACAGTGTTGTAATTATTTTTTATTGGAGTCTTGTATTTTTAAAAGAAGCTAAGAGGAGAAGTGAGAAAAAAATATACACAAAGAGTCTTTCATATTTACTAACATATATCTCATTTCTGGCACCCTTTGTTTCTTTCTTTCTTTTTTTTTTTTTTTGTTTTTTGAGACAGTCTTGCTCTATTGCCCAGGCTGGAGTGCAGTGGTGTGATCTCATTTCACTGTACCTCTGTCCCTGGCTTCAAGCTATTCTCCTACCTCAGGTTCTCTAGTAGCTGGGATTACAGGCATGTGCCACCACAGCTGGCTAATTTTTGTATTTTTAGTAGAGATGGGGTTTCGCCATGCTGGCCAGGCTGGTCTCAAACTCCTGACCTCAGGTGATCCATTCACCTTGGCCTTCCAAAGTGCTGGGATTACAGGCGTGAGCCACCATACCTGGCCTTCTTTGTTTCTTTTTGTGTAGTTATCATGTGGGGTCATTTCTGTTTAGCCAGAGGACTTTCCTTAGTATTTCTTGTAAGGCAGGCATGCTAGCAACATATAATCTCAGTCTTTGTTTATCTGGGAACATCTTTATTTCTCTTCCATGTTAAAGAATTGTTTTAACTGTATATGGAATTTTTAGTAGAACATTTTTCTTTTTATGTAGCACTTTAAATATGTCATTCCATTGCCTCTGGCCTCCATTGTTTCCGGTGAGAAGTTAGCTGTCCATTGTATTATTCTACTGTACATGGTGAATTGTTTTTCTCTTTTCTGCTTTCGAGAGGTTTTCTTTGTTTTAGGCTTTCAACAGTTTTACTCTGTGGATATAGGTGTGGATCTCTTTTTATACATCTTACTTAGGGTTTATTGAGCTTCTTAGATGTGTGAAGTGATATTTGCGAAGACTGGTCATTTTATCTTCAAATACTTTTTCTGCCCTGTT